CTAATGAGCTTTCTCAAACTGCCCAGTCTGCCAGTTCTACTCTTATTAAGTTAAAGGGACTTACTTGAAGAACGAGAGAAATTATTAATCTCTAGGTATCTACTCACAGATGTGCCAATTATAAAGAAAAGATTATTTTGATATCTTTTTTCCATTAAAAATAAACAAAGTAATATTGGTGATAATTTTTAAAAGAGAGTAAAAAAAAAATCATAGTCAACCACTCTAAGAAAACCATTAGTAGCCTTGGTACATTTTTTTCAGTCTTTTATTTGGATTCTTTTACATAATTTTAATTTTAGTATAAATTTTGGAGGGGGTGTCTTCCAATCAGTACAACAGAGAAAATTATCACACATCATCATAAAAAAGGAATGGATGCTCTAGTGGTTATCATCTAGTATTGCTTACCAGATGTAGGTACTTTGCTAATATTTTCCATTTATCAATCATTTAACCTTCGTAACAGCCTGTGCTATAACTGCTCTTATGTTTCCAATTTTACAGATGAGAAAGTGAGGCTGAGAGAAGTTAAATAGCTTGCCCATGTCTACACAGCAAGGAAACACAGAGCCTGGACTCAGATCCAGGCCTGTCTGACTCCAAAGCCTGTTCTTTCACTGGGCTCAAGACTCCAAAGGTCAGGTGTCCTCGTGTTCAAAGACTTTGCCGTTCCTATACAACTCGGCTCCTTCAGAGTGGCCTTTCGTGTTCCCCTCCTCAACATTGAGACCCTTTACTGGTGCCTGTCTTTTTTTGGCCCATGCAAGCCTAGGTCTCTGACTATTGATTACCTGGCAGCACTGATTTATGACTCGCTCACTGCACCTTTGATCTGCCGCATGTAAGCCAACATTGCCCATTTGACGCTTTTAAACTGTTCATTTATTCTGAGCCCTTTGTAAGATATTGTTCATGTGGCTTTCTAATTCTCTCTTTCTGTCTTCCTCTTTCTCTCTCCCTTATTTTCCCTACACTGCACTCCATTTCTCATCTCTGAAAATAATGGTGCTAGCATCTTCCCCAGTGGGTGTATGCATCTGGTGGAAAACCTAGCTCTACCCTTTAAAAGCCCTAACTCCCACAATATATGAATCCTGCTTATGAACATTTTTCTTGTCTCTTGCCAACTCATATATTTATAAGTTCTCAGTGAGATCCCATTTCCTTACCTCCTAAAATATCCGTCAGAAACTCTTCAACCAATACTACTGGCTACCTAGGGACAATCCATAATCCCAATACTTTAACAAGTATTTCTTACAGCACTTTAATAATTATTACAATTACTCATATCTCAATATGGCTGACTAAAACATAATTCCTTTTATTTGTTTCAGAACTAGGATAATAGTATTTCTTTCTTTTAACTTTATTTAAATGCTATAATTTGGACAATTATCCAACAGAGTTGCTGGCAATCATCTGGAAGATATCAATTTGAAAGAACAAAATACTAATCTCTTATTATAAGAAACTAATAACATTTTAAAAGTTTCAAAATCATATTCATGTTGAAAAATATCCAAAACACAAGTCCTCTGCTATAAAAATGTCAGTTATTGTTAGACATTATCCATATTATAAGAGATTTGCAAATTGTGAATTCCACATGGAAATGTATTTTCCACCCTTCAGCATAACCCCCAAGTCACACACAGTTAATTCTGCCCTTGGGGTATCATTCACATTTAATTTATCAGCAATTTGTTGGAAGAAAAACTGTTTCTCCTTAGGACACGTGCAAAAATAAAAACGACTAGTGAGCATTACAGAATGTACTCATTCTGTCCGTGATGGGAAGATCAGTTTTTTAAGGGAAGTCACAGAGTCTATTATTGTCTCAAACCTATAGAAGACAAAGACCATGAGTTACTGGAAATGTAAAACCTGAAAGTGAGAATATACACTTTTCACTTTCTAGTGACAAATTGTCTTTCTAACCTTGTTTTACTCATTTAGGAGAAATAAGAAGTTAGCCCTTTCCCTGGCTCTCTTTCTCATTAACTCTCCTCAAACTTCCCTAGTGGGAAGAGAGTCACAGTCAATAGACTAAATTAACAAGCCGATCAGCATCAATTAACAAGGCTTCTCTCTCCCTCTCAATGAGACTAAGTGACTAGGGGGTCGTCTTTTCTTGTGTTTTTGCCTTTCTTTAAGATGAAATTATCGCCCCATTGACCCTGATGGCTCCTAAGTTACTTGTCAGTTGTAAACTTTAGATCCTGTGCTCTGGTCTGACAGTCTCCAGAAGGTAAGTGGGGCCAAAGGCACAAGCTGCAGGCAAGGCCTGTTGGAAAGAGTTACAGACTTTGAATCAGCTTGTAGGCTCCTATCAAGAATCCATCAAAGCATCTTGGGATAAGAATTGGACTGTGTTTGGTAAAAGGGCCAAAGGCACAAGCTGCAGGCAAGGCCTGTTGGAAAGAGTTACAGACTTTGAATCAGCTTATAGGCTCCTATCAAGAATCCATCAAAGCATCTTGGGATAAGAATTGGACTGTGTTTGGTAAAAACATTATCCTTCAGCTGAACCACATTCATATGACTCAGCATTAAACATAAAAACGATAGGTGGATGACTTAAACTCAACCTTTAGAGATGTCTATATCATGACACAATTCTATGACTAAACATACTTGTAAAATTGGACTGCATTTTTTTTAGCAGTTATGTATATTGTAGTAAGGGCACAGATGTGATCCCAGAGCAGAAATTCTTCCGAATTTCCCCTACACTTCTACAGTGGAGAGAAAGGCCACACAAATAGACATCAAAGGCTGGTATTCTGTTCCCTGCTTGTCCAGGACACAATTCTATGACTAAACATACTTGTAAAATTGGACTGCATTTTTTTTAGCAGTTATTGTATGTTGCAGTAAGGGCACAGATGTGATCCCAGAGCAGAAATTCTTCCGAATTTCCCCTACACTTCTATAGTGGAGAGAAAGGCCACACAAATAGACATCAAAGGCTGGTATTCTGTTCCCTGCTTGTCCNCCCCATTGACCCTGATGGCTCCTAAGTTACTTGTCAGTTGTAAACTTTAGATCCTGTGCTCTGGTCTGACAGTCTCCAGAAGGTAAGTGGGGCCAAAGGCACAAGCTGCAGGCAAGGCCTGTTGGAAAGAGTTACAGACTTTGAATCAGCTTATAGGCTCCTATCAAGAATCCATCAAAGCATCTTGGGATAAGAATTGGACTGTGTTTGGTAAAAACATTATCCTTCAGCTGAACCACATTCATATGACTCAGCATTAAACATAAAAACGATAGGTGGATGACTTAAACTCAACCTTTAGAGATGTCTATATCATGACACAATTCTATGACTAAACATACTTGTAAAATTGGACTGCATTTTTTTTAGCAGTTATGTATATTGTAGTAAGGGCACAGATGTGATCCCAGAGCAGAAATTCTTCCGAATTTCCCCTACACTTCTATAGTGGAGAGAAAGGCCACACAAATAGACATCAAAGGCTGGTATTCTGTTCCCTGCTTGTCCACAAGCTAGATGTATGACTTGGAGGGCTCAGTTTTTGCACCTATAAATGGCAAGGGTAAATTGGAAAACCTTCCAAATCCCTTTAAGTTGTAATATTTTATACTGTCTACCACTGAGAATCTCATCAGGGTCCAAGATATTCTAACAAGTAAAGAGAGCAGTGTCCTAGAACCATGGTCCCTTCCTCCAAGGGGAAAAGCTGACACATATTCAAAAAGGAATTCCCTTCCCCAGTGGATGTTTCCCATGCAGTGCTTCACAGGAGAGCCCATAACAGCAGCCGTGGAAGGGAATCATGAATCTGGCCTGTTCCGTGTCCCTGAAGGGAAAGGATGTTTTATAACAAACATGGCTTGTTACAGCTTAGCTTGTGATGCACATTTCTTGAATTAACTTTTGGAGTTCCCTAAGTGTGAAACACAAATAATACCAGTTGTGTATCTTTTGCAATCTGGAAAACAGTAAAAATCTCTCTTTAGGCAAGACAACATATGTAGAGAAGGACAGATGCACTTTCATGAAGCGGTTAGCCAAGCGCCTTAAGATATGCCTCCTCCATAAGAAAAATTTCCATTTATACCTGAACATTCCTTCTGAAGGAAAAGATGTTCTTGGTTATTATCTTTTCCAACTCCTTATCATAGTATTTAAATGAAAATACTCATCCTTCAGGCCAAGTGATATAGACACTCACGTACACACATACTATTATAAATGTGTTAATAATATTTTGCATTAACACAGAGGATAAGAGGGCTTTATAGAAGATACTGTAGCTCGTTAATCCTCAGGACATCCATGAAATAGCTGGGGAAAAGGGGTAGCTTGCAGCCCTTTTCATATGATGAAAAACTGCATAGTTCACAGAGTGAGTTTGCTCAAAATTGCCTCACGAACCTTTCACAGGGCCTTTCGGAACCCAGGAACACTCCCTGTGAGTCTCTACCAACTTCTGCTCCATATCACTCATAAAAAGATCATGGCCCTCCTTTGCAGTGATTCCACATTTTATTCTTCCACTCTTGTCCACCCAGGATTCCTCTAGCAGCCTCCAGCCCATGGCCAGGGGAACCAGTGGAGAAGTAGAAGCGGCCGCTTGCCCACAGACTCAGGGAGTTTTCCCAGCTTCCCCTTCCTGCCTTCTGCTCCACAAATCAATGTCCTTTAGATTTGTATTGCAGCCTACTTGCATGGTTTAATCCCAATTCAACTCCAATTTGACTTTTTAAAGATAGAGCTCCTAAGAACTTGCAGGCCACTGGGGCCTTCAGAATGGCCCTGGTCATGATGCAACCTCAGGCTCTCTCCGAGGAAGAAAATGCGACACACATAAAGCCACCAAGTCAGTGACCAAAAAACCCGCCTCTCTTAGGAAGGCAGTGGTTCCCCTCCATTACCGCCCCCCCCAGGGTGTCAGGGTCTCTGAATGTTCTCAGGAAAACCTCAGGAACCCCTTCAATCCCAGCAGAGTAATGATATAAAGAGGAGTTACCATGAGGGCTGTGTAGGTGTAAGGGTAGTGGTAGGCCAGGTAGCAGACATCCTCTTCATGCGGGAAGGTGATGGTAAAGGTGAGGGTGTAGTGACACTTCGCAGATCCTCCGCCTATGGCAGCTGCACTCTGGCGATAATGATTTCTAAAGAGAGAGGAGGAGAGAATGAGGGAGGGGTGTGCAAAAAAGTTACTTAAGGCCCTAGATGCTATAAGCCTCGTGTGCTGTATACTGGCAAAATCGTCTTCACTCGAAACACTTTTGTGGGTGAAATTTAGAAACGAGAAATGTACAAGTGAACTTACTGCCAGGTCATGAGTTAGTTCAGCAATGTGTAGCCTGGCCCATCTGCCTCCCCACTGTGGCGTGTGTGCCACGGGCCTTTCCTCACTGTATCCGCAAATGAAGGCTATATAGTCATTGAGCTAGAAAATAGAGAAAAATGGGGGTAATTCTGGGTTGCCTGGGATTCTATTGCATACATACACTTCATTACCCAAATTTGGTTAGCCCAATCCCTGCCTCTCCTCAGACCATGTAGGGTACAGCTCATTCCTTTCCCTCTACCTGCCAAGTGAATTAATTAGCAATCACTACTATATATTGAATTCCAACTCGATACCACATATGCCATCTTATGTTGTTATTTTGACAGCCCACTTTGTGGATGAAGAAACAAAAACTTAGGAAAATTCATTGCCAAAGATCTCAAGGCTAGTAAGTGCTCAACACATGACTCGAACCCAGATCTCCCTGGCTGCCAAGCCTTCGTTCTTTGCACTATGCAGTATTTTCTTGCCAATGGGATATATTTGTCATCCCAAATGTAGTTCAGCTTCTGAAAGCTTGAGAATGCACATTTTCCTTTGTCAAAGACGAAGAACCAATTTTGATACTTCAGAGAGCAGAACCAAAGTAAATTGCACCCAGAAGTACATTCCGAGCAATATTTTCCCCACACGCTGCCAGCTGATGCTGAGACAGCTGCGCAGGCTTTCCTGAGAAATGCTATCATCGGGTCTGCTTTATAATGCAAAACACACCCAGACACCAAAAGACATAATCCCGCCTTTGAACATTTACCACATTAGCTTACTTGTCCAAGAAAGCGGGGAATGGCGGGGGGAGGAAGAAATAGTAGATAATTATTCTTGTTTGTTCTTGCAAAATGTGAAAAACATGGGTTATTCTTTTCTGCCTTTTGGCTACCTTTGTGCCACCCCCTTCACCAAAGCCAAAAAGCAAGCACCTAAGACAGGAAGAAATAGAAAATCTACTCTTATATTTTGTGGTTTTGTGGGGTTTCAATATTTATAAAACTAGGAATGGGAGTAATAGAAGCTGGTAGTCCTGCTGACTATAGCCTGTGCTTCCATCAATATGGCAACCTGGCACCTTGGTCATTCTAGGGAAAGGAGGATACCCTAATTACGTAAGTCCTAAGGGACCGTCTCAGCCAGCTTGTCAGCGTCACATTAATAGAACCCATTTCCTTTGTGCCTGCAGAAATAGAAACTTCAAAAGAGTGTCTTCCCCATAGTGTGATCTGAATCTTGATACCTAATTGGGTCTACTTTCCAGATTTCCCCAAAGTTCTGAAGTTCGTCTAAAAGCTAAGACTCTGGTTATTAGGAAGTATGTAAAGAAGCAGATGGTAGCTCAGAAAGCCTGCAAGTCGCAGATGTTCTATGTTTTATTTGCTTTCTGATTCCAGTTGTAAAGTCTCCACTGCAAACACACATTCAGTTTACAACTAACTGAACAACAGGTGCTGGTCAATTATACCTCTTATAATGGAAGAGCCAGCTGAAATGAAATGAGCCAGGGACAGACAATCAGAACATGGAAGAGTGCTTCACACACACACATGCACACACACATATGCACACATACTCATGAATGTAAAGGCAGGTAGAAACACACATTTAGTGCTTTACTGTCTTCAGCTCCTCACCTACAAACAGTGGGGACAGAGCCAGCATCCTGACTGAGAATAATAAATGTCCCTAAGGGCCAGTGGGGCAATCTTATTTGGCATGGGCCTTGCTTTTTTTTAGGTTTCTCACTGCACTATTAAGTACACTGAAGTCATATCACAAGCACATTGTCCCTGTGCAAACTCAGCCTCACCCCACTCAACCACCAGCAAGCAAGAAAAAGAAAGTGAGAAAATTAATCCCTGTATTTATCTCCATGCCTTTTCCCCTCATTCAGACCAAACCTTGACTCCAAGGAAAGAACAGCTACAGTGAAATGGAAAGAGAATAAAATGGACTTATTCTTAGCTTGAGCTTCCATAGGCCCAAGTCCTAGTGATTTATGGGAATTGTAAGGAATTTAAGTGGTAGTTTTGACTATAAGAAATCTGCCTTCTCACACCCTCAAAACACACACACCTAACGTGCTACCTGCATGCTGCAACTTGGTGGTGTTAGATCCTTCTAAGCAAGAATAAAAGCCCCCCACTGACAAGCCAGCCTTCTCCAGGACAGGTACAACCTGCTGGAATTTAAGAGAAGTATATATTTAAAATGAGTTTTAGCTGGAGGAGATTTAGCTACAACTCTAGCCTGGGGTCTAAACTCTGGCTGAACCTAAAGCAAATGTCAGACTTCCCACTGGAGTCTCCTGGCAGCCATACTGCTGCGGGAGCTGTCCAGGAGATGATATTACTTCCAGCAAAACCTTCCTCTTCAGAGGCCTTTAAACTTTCCCAAGATCATCTTCTTCAATGTGAAATGTTTGATAAATCTGTAAAGTGAAATGCTTAACTTGCTGCAATTCAGTTTGTCCATGGTAGAGTGAGATCCCATCAACAAGTTATTTTGTTCTCCCAATTATGATGTGAACATATCGAGGGGTATTGGCAAGGCAGTAACACTCATCCTTCAATACTTTCAGTGGTTGCCATGTTTGTCCCTTGTATGGAAAGCCTTTTCCCTCTTTCTTATTTAGCTAACTTTTCTTCTTACTTCAAAACTCAACTCAATTGTTTCCTCTTTCAGAAAGCCTTCCTAGATATCCCTGTTTTACATAGCTCTTACCACACTGTCTCTCTCCCTCACTGCCAGCACCTTATGGGAGAGTTCATGCTTATTCATTTGTGTGTCTTTAGGCTTGGCACTGTACCTGAGCCTAGCAGATGTTTGCTTAAAGTATGTAGAATAAACAAACCTAGACTCCAGCAACAGTAACCAGGATGCTTGAGGTATTTTATCTCTAATCCTAATAACATCCTTTCAAGATAAGTGCTATACACATTCCACAGATGGGGAAATTGAGGGTCACAGATGTCGAGTGTTTTGAGCAATTCCACACAACACATATAGTGAACAGGATTCGACCCCAGGATTAGTTTTAAAACTAAGATTTTTTCATCATATCACCTGCCTCTCAGGAATGAATAAAAGGACAAAAGGTCTTTTAGCCCAATTCAGCAAGTAACAATTTAAAGTTTTGGTCTTCACATATCAGGGCTGCCTATGAACTTAGAGTATTTAAAAAAAGAAGGAATTTAAAATAATCCAGATGACATCTAGTGAAAATGATTATTAGCATGATTCATTATATCATTGGTATTTGATGCTATTAAGAAGATGTTTTTATTAATTATTAATAATAGTTGCTAACATATGAACTTAGAGTATTTAAAAAAAGAAGGAATTTAAAATAATCCAGATGACATCTAGTGAAAATGATTATTAGCATGATTCATTATACCATTGGTATTTGATGCTATTAAGAAGATGTTTTTATTAATTATTAATAATAGTTGCTAACATGCATTGAATACCTACCATCCACCAGACATTGTTCTAAGCTTCTCATGTGTTTTATCTTGTCATTTAATCTTCAGAGCATCCCTATCACATTGATGCCATTATTACCCTCATTTTACAAAGAATCTCAGGTTGAGAGAAGTGGGAATAATTTGCCCCCTGTCACACCATTAATGAGTGGTGGAAGTTTGATTCCTAGAACTTTCTCTCCTCAATCTACTCTTCTAGGTGGAGAAGTCTGGCAAAAATCAGGTGTGTTCCTGAAGGTTTGTGGGATCCTAGAAAGGTCATCATGAGTCAAAGATGACCCAGGTTGGAAAGATTCAGCCACTAACAGTTCAAAGGTTCTCCTTTATGATTCCATGCCCTGAACCATTTCTCTTTGGAAGGATCTGCACTTTTATAATCATAAAGCCTTCAATGAAGCAAGGAGCAAAGTACACAAATGCATAGTTATGGACTCGATCTATTTCCATTTGTACTTAAAAATTTGCTGGGAAGTCATTCTTTTCTGTGGGTGCTTAAAATAAGCAAATGCCAAGAGAGTGAATTAAATAATCTTATAATGACGATGGCTGTGTTTAACAAGGGTGCATCATTTCACTTAACAGGATCTAATAAGACAGAGCAGCAGAGTCGCCAGGCTCCCCAGTGTCACCAGCGTTTCTAACAACCTATAGAACGCCAAGATCTCCCTCCTGAGATCCATGCAAGGATGCATGGTGGCAGCGCTCTTGTATAACGTTCATCTTCATGAGTGAGCTGCTCATCTCCGCTCACGAGCGGAGATAAATGTCAGAAGATATCAGCCGTTGTGTATTACATGGTCACTCGGAGCACGTAGCTTCCCTCACGCTGCCCTTCAGGGCCAAAATCACTTTAGACCAGAGCTGGGAGAGAATCAAAAATGTGTGAGGCTGTGGACGTTAGAGGGAGAAGCAGACTGCAAGGAAGTAAATAAAAGAGAAACTAAAAGGGTCCTTGCTTACTTTTATGAGAGACATGGAAAAATGAGTCTGTTCATTTATGTTTCTCCCTCTCGAGGGTGGTTAGTTATTCTCTAGCCTAGTGGTCTCCAAGGTGGGTGGGAGAGGGGGTGGCATAGAAGCAGTAGGAGGGAAGGGACAGGATGACCAAATGAGCACAGGGAGAAAATATTAGAATTTCTCTGCAAACGTATTATTATCTAGGTAATGAGAAAGAAGTTGTCTAGGGTTTAATACGTGGATTGGCACAGCTGCCCTGATGCAGTCCGTGTCAGCCGAACGTAATGAATAACTATAAAGCTAACTAGATGCGGTGCAGCCATCTTACCCACTCATCCCTGCTATATTACAGGCTGGACTGTGGAAAACACATCACATTCTACAGCGAGGGCTTTCAGGTACCAGATAATTAGGTACCAGATGCGACAGTGGAGGTTTCCTGACGGAGGGGAGGGAATAGCCAACCCTCTCCCTCATTCTTCTGCTTTTAGCTGCTGGTGAGACATTGAAGTTTGCAGAAGCTTCCATTGGTGGCTTTACAGATTATAGTATCTAAGTTAAACTCAACCTCACAATACAGACAATTAGGGTTCGTTTGCGGGTTTTTTAAAAATTCTGCTTAGAATGATGATTATATTAAATTATATGCACAAATGACAAAGAAAGGGGCAGAACGGACATGGTCTACCCCTCACACTTAGTACCGGCTCTTTCTCAGGAGTTTTCATTTGTGTAAAAATAATCTAATTATATCCAGAAAGTAAACCATAATTTCTCAAAATTATCCAAAAGACTATTTGCAACTATATATTTTATGGTGCACTCCATCATAAAGTTACAGTGTGCCCTGAGCCATCAATAGTACAGCTATCACATGCTATGTATGAATATGATGATTACACACATATATATAACAACTAGATGTAACAATGAGACATTTGAAACTTGGTTTACCTTTTTTCTCATCATTTAAAATTCTTTACTTTTTGCATCTTTTCTAATGTACATAATGTATTTATATAGTAATGCATATATGATTTTTTAAAAATAATTTATGAACAAATTTATATTAGTAAGTACATGCATAAATATATATTATTGATAGTGGTGTGCTATAAAATAGTTTGGAGACTACTTTTTTTTTTTTTTTTTTTTTTTTTTTGTGACTGGTAAGGGGATCGCAACCCTTGGCTTGGTGTCTCCCGCACCGCGCT